GGATGGTCCACGCCCCTGACCTTCGTCAGGTTCTATGACCTAGACATGCGAGCCAATCCTGGCTCTTCTGTTCTCTCGCCCTAGCTGTGCAGTCTTCCACACTAGGCAGAGACTTAGAAGTTTGGCGGCGTGGTCGCGTTCCCCTAGCGTTTCCGACGCAGCTCGAGTTCCTGAAGAGGAACGTCTCAGGTTACGTATGTAACCCTAGTTCTTCGAGGGAACGAGACGCTGCGTCGCGGTGCCATACTTCCGGCGTCCCTGCCAGCGCTTGCTTCATTCCTAGAAGCTGACGCTGGTCTCACCGCACGTGCTTTTATAGCTTCCTGGTCATTACGTCACCCGCCGTGACGTCTCGCCCATCTATTGGTCTGATTACACACGAGGTTCAGAGCCCGTCACGCTGAAGGGCGTTCCCCTAGCGTTTCCGACGCAGCGTCTCGTTCCCTCGAGGAACTAGGGTTACATACGTAACCTGAGACGATATATGGGATAAATAGCGATTAATAATAAAAAAAAGAACTTGCATTTCATGGCAAATTTTAATTAGTTGACAGCACTAATAAACACAATATATCACAGAAACTGATATATTACAACTCATTATAGTTTTCGGTAAATTAAAAATTAGTTAGTACATATATACATAAAACATTAAAACAGACATTTACCCCATATAAAATATTGACTAATAAAATCTAAAATATTTAAAACATCAGTTATTTTATACTGTTGAAATACAAAATAAATACAAAAAACTTCTAAAATTCTCTGTCATCTTGTGTTATATTAGATTAGGAGCCTCTTTTGTTTTGATCAAAAATGTAGCAAAGTCTTTGGCACTATCGAATATATGGCGCCCTGATTTCGTGGTTGAATATGAGCACATGGAAAACGCTGATGTAAAATCCGTCCTTTGAAAGTGCCCACAATGCATCTCAACTCAGTGATTACAGTAACCATGAAACTGGAGCATAATCACTTCACATTTGTATGTAAACACTGACACAAGCAAAGAAATCGAGCGAGAGGAAACGTGAGTGACAATGACAAAATCAAAACGAAAAGAGGGATGAAAACGAGAGACGAGAGACAGAGTGATACGTGAACAGAGAGGTGAAAGGGAGGGAAATAAATACAAGAGAAAGAGAATGTCAACACACTCTCACACCCCCTGTCACGAAAGGTTTTTCTACAAATGAGCAAGATCATCACAAGAAGTGCGTGAGATTGAGCTGTGACTGGGTGCGTGGGTAAGCACCACAGTATCAAACCATCAAAGCCATCTGTGTGTGTGAGGGCATATGGGGGAATGGGGAAAAAGATTTTCGAGTGGTTTTTATTGTGGTTAGGGAAGGTCCCAAGTGCCAAGAAAAGCACTATAATACCACTTTAAAACGGAGTACACAGGTAACCGCTCAGAGCGTACTAATAAGAACGGTGACAAAGTGCAGACGGAAAGATTATATTTAGATTATAAAATATATAAAAAAGCCATACTAACTGGGATAAATGCCATTTTAAGAAGAGGAGAAACCAGGTTTGTGTAGTAACTTGGAATCATGGGAATCTTTTGACTGAAAACAGTGTGGGTTGCGAACATTATGGATTTTTTTTCTGATCACAGATTGTGATGCAAGTGCTAAGATTGTGACAGATAGTACACTAGTGCATGCCATGTATGTGTGTGTGTTTCTATGTGACAGCCTCACCTCGTTTTTGAGTTCAGCGATCTGCTCTCTCAGTTGAGTTATATACTGTCTGGAGTCTGAGTGATTCAGCTGGCCTTGGATCAATCCTTCCTCTTTCTGCAGGCAACACATACATACTCTTAAAGGGGTCATATGATGCTTTTTTAAAGATCATTATTTTGTGTATTTGGTGAAACAGAATATGTTGACCTGCTTTGATGTTCAAAAAACACATTATTTTTCAAATACTGTACATTATTGTAGGTCCTCTATGCCCCGCCTCTCTCAAACGCTTCGTTTTCTACAAAGTCCCTCCTTTGACAAGCGCATTCTGCTCTGATTGGCCAGCTGACCCAGTGCATTGTGATTGGCCGAACACCGCAAGCACTCGTCGGAAATGTAACGCCCCTTACCGTAATCGCGAGCTTCATCTTTCAAAATAAATGTAAAGACAGAGCCCGAAAGGGGAACAGAGTCGCGTGAGACACAGTGATGAAGCTGGTATGTGTTTGCAGTCCACAAGCCACGGTTAAGACAGCTGACTCCACTGTGATGTGACCCTGTCTCTCTCTCTCTCACACACGTGCGCGCGCACACGCACACACACACACACACACACACACACACGATGCGCAAAACTCCGCATTTGAACAGTCAATAGCAAATACTTAAACTAATAACAAAATAGTATCTGATTCAGAAGCGCCAGATTGTCATAGCAAAGTCAGAATGACCTCCTCTCCTAGGTTCACGAAACGGTCGTCCATAAAATGCATTGCTGTTCTGTTGTAAGTAATCTTAAAGATTCCTAAATGCATCTACTTTCGGAAGGCCAAATAAAGTGCTTTTGCTTTCGC